TGTGTGGCTTAGTGGATAGCATCGGGACATCTTCGGAGACCTCAGATCTGATGAACATAAACGAGGCAACGACATTGGGTGCAATTTCAACCGGAATTGGCTACGCTCAATGTCAAGAGTTTTTCAATGTTTTGCAAGTACCATTTATGCGACAAGAAACATTTAAAAAAGCATTTTGTAAAGTAGCCGATGTTATTCATGAAACAGCGTCAAGTTCAATGGAAAAAGCAGCAGAGGAAGAAAAGCAATTAGCTAAAGAAGCAGGAGATATAGATGAGGACGGAGTGCCATATATTACTGTAATTGCTGATGGAGCCTGGAGCAAAAGGTCTTACGGATTAAACTATGACGCTGCGTCTGGGGTTGTAAGTTACAAAACTTCACAATTTTAAGACAGATATGAAAATTTATTTATATATATACATCATGTCACAGGCCTGTATTATCGGACAGCGAACGTCTAAACTCCTGTATTTAGGAGTAAGAAACAAATATTGTACAATTTGTACCATGGCTGATAGGAAGGGGGAAACCACGCCACAACATGTTTGCTCACGAAATTGGACAGGAACCTCGACAGCAATGGAGAGTGACATAATTGTGGAAGGTTTTCGATGTAGCATTGCTATGTATGGTTTGAAATACCTCAAACTTGTAGGGGATGGTGATAGCAGTGTTCATCGAAAACTTTTGGCAATAAAACCATACGGAAGTAAGTTAGTTCAGAAAATAGAGTGTCGCAACCATCTACTAAGAAATTTCTGTAAGAAAATAAACGAATTATGCGGTAAGTAGAAAATATTTAGTGATTGTATTATTATAAAATAAAAGAAGGTAATTGAATAATAATATTTACATAATTAAAAACGAAAATAATAAATATATATAATAAATAAGAAATATTGAACATTAAGATGTATCTTTCAGCAAGAACAAAGAGCCAATCAAATGGTTTAAGTGTGCCTCGAACTCTAAGACTGCACGTCAGTAAAAATATTATGCGATTGCGCACGGCGATTGTGAAAGCTACGTATCACCGAATGAACGAGAAATTAGAATTACCCCAAAAAATACAATTATTAAGAGGTGACATATTGAATAGTCCATCCCACGTGTTTGGCGAACATAAAATTTGTGCAAAATTGGGTTATTTTAAATGTTCGCCGAAAGACGACGAAATAAACTACGTTCCCGAAATGACAAAATGTGGTCTTTCCCAAGATTTACAAACCATATTACACAGGCTTGTTCAAAACGCTTCCAGTCTAATAATGAATATGACCAATAACGATGCGGAACATTATAATTCAGTGATTTGTAAGTTTACGGGTGGAAAGAGAATAAATTTTTCACTGGGAATGCAATACAAAACTAGGTGTGAAGCGGCAGCTTTAAGCTACAATCATGGCGGTGAATATTACGGCATTCTTCATAAAAGAATCACTGGATGTGATCCAACAGGAGCACTATTGACTTACACCAAGCGGAAACTAAAACTGCTGGCACAACAGGGCAAGAGGAAACGCATTAAAAAGCAGAGAGTGAACTGTACTCGCGCGGATGACGATTATGGATTAGCAGATATTAATGAATTAACTCCAGATATAATTGAAGCTAAAACGACGCAAATGTTGAAACGAATGGAGGACTCTACAAAAAATAGAGATAACCTGCAAAAAAATACAATTGGGCAATCATCTTGTCATTTATGGCAAGAAGAGCGACAACTGAGGCTGACTGCGTCACACTTTGGGGAAATAATTAAAATGAGAGAATCATCAAGTTCCAATAAAGCGATTCAACTGTTGAAATCTTTTAAGGGAAACATTCACACCAGATATGGTATAGAAAGTGAACCGTTTGCTAAATATGAATTTTCCCAAAAATACGATTTACGTGTCGATGAATGCGGCCTATTTATACATAAGAAATATGGTTACCTCGGAGCAAGTCCTGATGGATTGGTAGGAGAAGGTCTAATTGAAATAAAATGTCCATCATCGGCAAAGGATTTAGAACCCATTCAAGCAATACAAAACAAAATCATTAAATTTGCTACTATCGAACAAAACGAACTAAAATTAAAAGAAAACCACAATTACTATTATCAAATTCAGGGCCAACTGAATATATGCGAAAGACCTTTCTGTTACTTTGTTGTTTGGACTCAAAAAGGGATGTTGGTACAAAAGGTTTGTTTTAGTTAAATAAACCAACGGTTAAATACCTGTCATTTAGTTATTTTATTTCATTTATTACTTTTCAAGTACCACGAATACTTACCACCAAAATATCTAACTACCAGCCTACCATATCATATTAAGCATGTAGTAGGATGAGTAATAATATGTACGTATCTTAGAATTTGTAATAAGTGTTTAGTAAATTTTAAACTTCTAACCTGTGAGGAGTAAAAACCGTAGTATTGTTTAAAATTATTTTGTTAAGGTAAGATACTATTTGTTTCATTAGAATATGTTTCGCATTGGAATGATTCAGTAGTATGGGGTAAGTTACATAGATTGTTTCTGTAAGTCGTGGCATAACTTTATTTGCACAACAAAGGTACCAGTAAAGGTAGTTTGATTTTGCCGAAACTGATCTTATCAGATTCCTCATTATAAAATTGCACTGTATACCAAATTTTATTTGTATTTATTGGAATTCACTATACCAGGGGTGGCCAAGCTCTTTGATAGTCTGAGCCATTTTTCAATTTGAAATTTTTCGCGAGCCGCAATTAAATACGTATATATTAAAACGGTATGCAAAAAAGGTATTACAAAACATTTTTTTACAGCAATTATATCAAATATACTATAAAAAAAATACTCGGGTACATTTATCCAGACCCACAAATAATCTTTCAAAGAGCCGCATGTGGCTCTAGTGGTAATTTTTGCTCTAGTAGTATATGTGGCTGAAATTATGCCACCACTTACAGAAACAGCATGTATTTTTATACATAGTGTATGAATTATAACCCTGTATAATTATTATGTTGTTGCATCGTTGTTAGTTGCAAAATGTAATAAATATTGTTGTGGCTATTAGTTTTCTATAAATTACTACTATAACGGTATATTCAATTTTAATGGTTTTCAGATAGCAAGAGACGAACGTTTCTGGAAGGAAAATATGTTGTGTAAATTGAAATGTTTTTATTTAGATTATTTTTTACCACAATTGGTGAAAAATAATTAATTATTTGAATTTTTAGTTTTTATGAGTTATGTTTGACGAGTTTGTTATTATTTATAATGTATTATTTATTTTAAAATATACCTTTGGTNCGACCGATTGCTTTAGCTTTAAGAAGTTAAAAGTTGGGCAACTCTTGGGACTAGGACAAAAACCATTTTAGTCGTAAGGTGTTGCATGAACAGTACTACTATAACACAATACTTTAACTTTTCACTTTTACGACTATGCCAACAACTACGACTAAAACATGTTGCATGAACCCACCTTGATAGGACCAAGTGGTCTTTAAAATGCTCTATTGGAATATGTGGTCTTATATATGATGAGATTGATGTTCCCAGGATGCGATGTCTTTCCAAGAGAGAGAGTGGTGATCTCTTAATTATGAAGAGTATCTCGACAACTTGCAAGCCTACAACTCTACTTAGCTTCATAGCAATGTTGACTTTTTTCCCAAAAATATATCAAACAATAATTTTCTTAAAAAAAAAGTTAACATAACATCTGTAAAAATAAATAGACCAAGAGGAGATGTAAAAAAACAGAACTCGTTGCTGTTGAATTATGAATCAAATTTTACGAGTGTCTGTCAGGCGGACAAATTGTGGGTTCTAGTAAAAGCACTAGTAAATTCCAGGACAGTTTAATGTCCGAGGAGTTTCCAACTCGACAAAGAATGAACAAAAAAAATCCAAGGGGGAAATAAATAATTTATACGACCCCAAAAGTCTTTGTCGAAGCTCAACAGGTGATAAAATTCGCTCCCAAAAAAAGCATATACCTTTCACTTTATTCACGAAATAATAAAACCTAACATTTTAAAAAGATAAACAAACTCAAGGATAAAAATAATTTATTGAAAGCTTTCCTATCTATTTCTTGATGTTGTTGAAGCGAAATTTTGTTACGGTTGAATGGACTTAGAATTAGCATAGAGCTTTGAAGTCTGAACGGTTTACGTTGGAGACCCTCGAAAGGCGTTAAAACGGGTCACAGGACTTGCATATCCTTCAGGAAATCCTTCGATAACGTCCTTCGAACCGCACAAGATCCCAACCGAAGACCTTCTATCTATTTTAAGGGACGACGAAGCACACCTTTGAGGTAACCTAAATATCTACGAAATGGAAATTTGTGTATCCATAAAAAAGATGATACAAAGTGTAACTTAAAAACAGATATTTTCGATTCCGTCGCGTCGTCGCCGTTGTCGTAGTCGTTCTTTCTTGTTGCCGGCCATAATTCAACTTGCGCCATTTGAGATCTACTCTACTGTAACTTATATCCGCGGGTTACGGGCAATTAACCAGACCCATAAAACTTGACTAAATTAAAAAGCTCGCCTTTAAAAACCTGCACCTACTATCAAGGGAGCAATATCACTAAATTTTGTCCGCGATGCGGTTAAAAATTTTCAATCCCAAAAGAATTTAAAAACGAATGAACCATAAACAATTTATTTTCAGCTTCGGGGAGTAACCTCACGTCTTGTGAGACATGTGCGTGTATGTTTTTGATGTTTCCCCCAAAATGGGGGTGCTCTTAAGGGACTCAAAGTGCGTGATGTTGTAAGTAAATTGCTTATTTTGTGCGTGAGTTTCGTGTTAGATGATTGGTGGAATTTATGGGTTTAATGTGTAAACTTTCCGGATTGTTATCGTAATGAGCAATGTTTTGGTTTAATATTTAATAAACATTTCAATTTTTACTTGGATTTATCTACCTTTAAAAACGAATCCATAAGTAATCCATTTCGTACCATAAACAAACATCCCGCGGGATAAAACCGTAAAACCAACTGTGCGGAATTACAAAACACACAACAAGCCGAACCTGAAGTTACAAAATAACGGCCCCAACGCCACAAACGACGAAGAAATAATAGAGAGAACACCTGAAACCCTAAGGGCATAAGAAAGAAACAAAATTTAAACAAAACTGAATCAAAACAAAATTGTTCGATATCTGCTAAAAATTTAAAATATAAACATCCTAAATAAATAAAGATATTTTAAAGTTATTTTACGAACTTAATATCATTCAGAAAATCTAACCTTTCTTTTTCTTCCCCAGGTAGGAGAGTATAAAAAGAGGATCTCGTGGCCAAAATAATAATGGGTTTCTGTTCGAAATTGGTCTTCTCTTTTTGTTTTAATACCTCCAGGGGCTACGTTTGCATGTTTTCCACCAGGATGGAGCCGATTTGCTTCGGGCAGGTTGCCGGCTACCTCGCGTTTACCGCCAAAGATCTATGTTTGTTCAGGTTGAAACCGAAGTTTGCTTCTTTCTTCCCTTTCAGTCTCCTTTTTTTAAACCTCTCTTTCTCTCTCGTTTAAGTTTCACTTACATCCAGGCAAATCGTTGTGGTTTCTTCGTTATCCTCCGATAATTCTTTTAACCGCAATGCGAATAGAGAGATGAAGAACTGTGGTTATAAGAATTAATTATTCATCAAATCGTTTTTTTTTAGATTATTTGAGAAAATTTTTCGTAAGAACCATAAACCACGCCTCTCTAATCTTTAAATAGTTTAAGAACCCGACCCAACCTACTCCATAAACCTAGGACATAGGAACAAACGTGAGCAAAGGAAATAATCATCACTCCAGGGTATTAACAACCCACATACAACCAACAACAAAACCTATTTCA